GAGGTCACTGAGGTGTTGATCGATTGGATCCGCGCTGCTCGTCTCCAGCTCAGAGAGAGTTTCGGCTCGGACTTTCCTGTTCTGCGTCTGCACTACAACAGAGGTGGAGAGTTTTCCTCCGACCTTCTGCGAGCCTTCTGTCGTGCGGAGGGCATCCGCCAGACGTTCACGCTTGCAGCCTCTCCACAGCAAAATGGGATTGGTGAGCGCTGCATTGGCATGGTCATGGACGTCGCTCGTACGTCCATGATCCATGCGGCTGCTCCCCATTTTCTGTGGCCGTTCGCGGTTCGGTACGCGGCGCATCATATCAACCTTCAGCCCCGAGTCTCCATGCCGGAGACCTCCCCTGCTCTGCGGTGGACGGGGAAGGTTCGCGATGTGTTTGCGTTCCGTGTCTGGGGATCTCGAGCTTTCGTCCGCGACTTGTCTGCGGACAAGCTGTCCCCCCGTGCTGTTCCCTGCGTCTTCCTTGGCTTCCCCCCTAACGCACCTAGTTGGCAGTTTTACCACCCCACCTCGCGCCGTGTTCTGTCCTCCCAGGACGTCACGTTCGACGAGTCGGTTCCCTACTACCGTCTCTTCCCCTACCGCACTGCTCCCCTTCCCCCCCCCCCGCCGCTCTTCCTCGCACCAGGTCCCCCCCGGTAGACCCCCTCCCCCCCAAGGGTCCTGCTCCCTCAGGTGTGTCCCAGGTAGACGCGGTCGAGCCTGTCGAGGTAGCTGTTGACTCTGGAGCTGCTAGAGGTGCTGAGCCTGCGGGTGCCGAGTCTGGGGGTGCTGAGCCTGAGCGTGCGGAGCCTGGGGGTGCTGAGTCTAGGGGTGCTGAACCTGGGGCTGCTGAGTCTGGGGGTGCTTATTCTGGGGTTGCTGAGTCTGGGGGTGCGGAGCCTGAGGGTGCTGGGCCTACTCGTGTGGAGTCTAGTGGTGCTGGGCCTGGAGGTCATTCCGGTGCTTCGTCCCGGCGGGAGCCACTCTCTCCGGACGAGCTACGCGAGTGGTTTGCTAGGCGCTGGCGCCGTGCTGCTGGAGTTGGTGGTGCTTCCGGTGCTGGAGGTTCTGCTGCAGCTGGAGGTCCTTCTGCTGGTGGGGCTGCTGGGGGTTCTGGAGCCACGGGTCCCGGAGGTGCTCGTACTGGAGGTACTGGAGCTGCCGGGCCTGGTGGTGCTACTGTAGCTGGAGCTGCTGGCGATGCTGGAGCTGGCGGTGCTGCTCGAGTAGGTGCTGCTGGAGGTACTGGAGCTGGAGCTGCTTCGTCTTCTGGTGGTCTTGCTGGAGCTGGAGCTGTTGGAGGTGCTGGAGCTGGAGGTGCTGCTGGAGCCGATGCTCCTGTGGGTGCTAGAGTTGGCGCTACTGGAGCAAATGGTGGAGCTGCTGGAATGTTGGAGCTGGCTCTGGGGGTGCTGGTGCTCTCCCTGCTGGTTCTGGAGGTGCTGCGGGCCACGGCCGTACTTCGTTCCGCTCCTTGAGCAGGTTCTTGGTCTTCCGCCCTCTACTGGTCCTGCTCTTCCCTTAGGGTGTCCACCGCCTGTCCAGTCCGAGTCACAGTTACAGCCCGCCTCCCCACTGCCTGCTCCTTCTCCCTACACTGGTCCTACTGGAGGTCTTGCTGAGCGTCGTGAGCCTGCGTCTCGTCCTGCGTCGCCTGTTCGTGCTGCTCGCACCAATCGTCGTGTTCCGCGTCAGCGTCCTCCTGCGGTCCCATGCACGCACCAGATGGCTCTGCATCCTTCCACTACTCCACTGCGTGTCCCTTTGCCATCTCCTCCAGAGTCCTCTCTTCCTGCTCTTGCTGACCCTGAGTCGGACTCCCTTCGTGCTGCCAGCCCTACTATCACGCGTCTCCTCGCTACTGTTGTCACTTACCCTTCCTTTGAGTCCAGTGCTGCGTCTGCCTAAGTTGCTGAGCTTGTCAACTTCGCTGCTCACTGTCGTTTAGACTACGCCGCTAGTCTTGTTGCCGGGTCTGAGTCTGTCTGTCCTCCGTCCGTCGGGGGTGAGTGTGCTCTTAGCACGGACGTCCTTGAGGACAGGCAGGAGGAGTTCCAGTGTTTTGCTGCTGCTTTATCTCATCTCGTGTCCATGCTGATTGCACCTGAGGGAGACCCGGATGCACCAGACATCCCGAGTCCGCGCTCTTACGCAGAGGCGATAGAGGGTCCCTACTCCTCTAAGTGGCTGTCAGCCATGGGCGCAGAGATGGCTTCCTGGAAGTCCACAGGCACCTACGTCTACGAGGTTCCCCCACCTGGGGCGAACATTGTTAGTGGCATGTGGATTTTCAGGGTGAAACGGCCGCCGGGTTCTCCGCCTGTCTTCAAGGCGCGTTACGTGGCTCGAGGCTTCAGTCAGCGGCAGGGAGTTGACTACTTACATACCTTCTCTCCCACCCCGAAGATGACCACTCTTCGGGTGCTGCTGCACATAGCCGCTCAGCGCGACTACGAGCTTCACTCTCTTGACTTCAGCACAACTTTCCTACAGGGCAGCTTGCACGAGGAGATCTGGCTGCGCCGCCCACCTGGCTTCACTGGGTCGTTTCCTCCTGGCACCCAGTGGAGCCTCCGGCGGCCAGTCTACGGTCTCCGACAGGCGCCCCGTGAGTGGCACGACACACTGAGGACTACACTTGCGGCTCTTGGCTTTGCTCCTTCTACTGCCGACCCGTCGCTGTTTCTACGCGCCGACACCTCCTTGCCGCCGTTCTACATCCTCGTGTACGTCGACGACTTGGTCTTAGCCACGGCTGACACTGCTGGACTCGCCCACGTGAAGTCCGAGTTGCTGAAGAGACACACGTGCAGACCTGGGTGAACTGCGCAGCTACCTTGGCTTGCAGATCACCCGGGACAGAGCACGGCGCAGCATTACCCTGACTCAGTCATACATGGTGCAGCAGGTCCTTCAGCGCTTCGACTTCACGTACTCCTCGCCTCAGGCCACTCCTCTGTCTGCTCACCACTCGCTCTTAGCTCTGCCTTCGGATGAGTCCGTAGAGCCGAGTAGCCCGTACCCAGAGCTTGTTGGCTGCCTCATGTACCTGATGACCTGCACTCGACCTGACCTTGCATACCCTCTTAGCATCTTGGCACGCTATGTTGCTCCTGAGAGACACCGACCAGAGCACATGGCTGCAGCGAAGAGGGTGTTGCGCTACTTGTGCAGTACGTCGGGCATGGGGCTTGGAGGGCGGAGTCCAGTGGTCCTCACAGGTCACGCAGACGCTTGTTGGGCTGACGACCAGGCTACGCAGCGCTCGTCACAGGGTTACACCTTCAGCCTTGGTTCCGGCTCTTTTTCGTGGCGGTCTACCCGCTCGTCTTCTGTTCTCGGCTCCAGCTGTGAGGCTGAGATCTATGCAGGGGCCATGGCTGCACAAGAGTTACGCTGGCTCACCTACTTGCTGACTGACCTAGGAGAGCCGCCTCGTTCTCCTCTAGTTCTGTACGTATACAACAAGGCCATGCTGGCCTTGTGTCGGGAGCACAGACTGGAGCACAGAACGAAGCACATTGCTCTTTGCTACTTCCTTGCTCGTGAGCTGCAGCAGCGTGGTCAGCTGCGCCTTGCTTACGTGGCCTCTCGGGCCAACACTGCTGATATCTTTACCAAGGCACTTCAGCCTTGTGATCATAATCGCTTTTGTACTATGCTAGGTCTTGTGCCTACTTGGCCTCACTTGCTCACTTCTTGACCTTGCTTGTACTGTGATCTATATACACCTGCTCCTGCTTGTTTACCTTTTTATATAGAATCCTGCATGTGAACTGGCCTTGTGGCCTTGAACCGGTGCTCGGAATGTGTGGTGACGTTGTGATCCACCCTGTGCTTGCTTTGCTTGACTGGTGGTGTGACCCCTTGTTCTCCCTCACTTTGCCTATGGGGGTGTGTCAGACATATATGATATAGCCTATGTAGGCTGTAGTGGGGTAGACAATAGGGGGTACAGATATTCTAGGGTTTCATACTTGTACCCCACACATTCCTAGTCAATCCACTCCTCTTTCTTCACAGTTTTCGCTGTTTTAACGACCCCATCAACCTTTGCTACAGCAATGATGCATTTTAGCATTAGCTTTGAAGCATTCACAATCATTACGTGCTATCCTCGTTCTACGTGTTGTGTTTCACTAATGTTAACGTGACGTGTTGTCTGTGTTTCGAGGCGTGGTGTCATTATGAATCGCGTATGCAATTTGGGGTTGTCATCGCCGCTGGGGCAGTGTGTCTTCGCTGTTTCAACGGCCCCATCAATCTCACTTGCTACGTTGATTCATATTAGCATCCACTTCGATATGTTCAAAGCTACTCGTATTTGTCGTACGTGTGCTGTGATGTGCATAACCATTTGTGCCATTTGTAGTTTTCGCCTTCGTCGTACATGTCGATGCCAGAATTTGTTGTCTGATCATACCATCCGCCGTATTAATCGACGACGATGTGATGGTCGGACGCTTTCATGGTTTCGACATGGCACGTGCATATTTGCTTTCGCGTTTTGGCATATCGTTCAGGAGTGATCGTTTTTCCACTTTTTGAGGCATATATTAAAAATAGTGTTTCAAAGAGTGCAGAAAACCCATTTCTGAAATGATGTCCCCAAAATGTGAAACCAAATATATAGGGTTGCTACGCAACCCAAAAATCGTTGTGTGCATTTGTGCATGTGAGAATTGGTTTTTATAGAACATCTATTGTTTTCAGTGTAGCTCCCTCCCTGGCATCCGGACGATACCGCGACCGCCTAGAACGCTGTCGACGAATCTGGTGACAGCTCGCAGTTTTCGTGGTTCATATTTGCGAAAAAATATGAACCGCTATAAAACCTTGTCTAGACCAGTCAAGCACTTGAGCCGCCATGGCAGAGCCAGGACTACGCCTTGTCTTAGCTGGTGCCCGGTCTAGCACTTGAACCGCGCCCACCGCGGAAACTCGTGAAACCAACCCTAAGTACCCCATAACAGGAGTATACTCCCTTACCCAGCCCTAGCATTCTTCCGATGGACGACGGATTAACGAACGCGTCGCGTGCAATCGCAGCACAGAACGGCGTGGGCGCGAAAGGTGACCACGACGATGGCGACGCGGATGATGTGATTGTAACGGTGGACCCTCTCCGCGTGAAGCGCGTGCGGCAGATGGACGTCACCGGCAGCGAGGACCACGTGCTGTACGTGCCACGTCACCCTCTTCCCCCCCGCTTCTCCCCCCTCTCCCCACAACACGTACTGTACGTGCCACGTCCCCCTCCTCCCCTCCTTTCCCACCACGTGTTGCAATATGGCACTCACCAAACGTACAGATAGCGTCCATTCGCCCTTCCTACCGTCGGGTGCTCAGCTCTCTTCATCTCTCCGTCGGGTGCTCAGCTCTCTTCATCTCTCCATGCCCTATCGCCAAGGATCGCCTTTTCCTTTTCCCCGCATCCCTCCCTCCCTCCCCCACCCCCCACCCCCCACCCCGTCCTTCCCCCGCCCTCCCCCAGCGACCCCCCCGAGGGAGAGCGCATGCTGGCTCTTCTGGCGCAGCTGGACGGTGCGCGCGCGCGCGCAGCACAGAGGAAGGGCGCGCGAGGGGGGAAGGGGGGCCGGAAACGGCGGGACAGGGGGGAGGCGGATGGGGATGCTGGCGGGGACGAGAATGAGCGGGTGAAGGGGAGGAAAGGGCAGGGAGGGGGAGGGGAGGACTTGAAAGGAGGTGGGGGAAAGGCAGCAGGCGCAGGGGGAGCTGGGGGGAAGGCAGTGGCGGAGGCACATGGGGAGTGGGCGTGGCAGGGGGTGATGTCACAGTTGACGTCAGCACAGGAGGAGCTGAGGGTGATAGTGGATCTGGTGAATGCGGTGGAGAGCGGTGCAGAGGGGCTGGCTGTGAGTGGCGTGTCGAAGCCAAAGCAGCATGCAGCAGAGATGAGCTCCGAGCTCACAGCCCGGCTGGCAGGCAAACTCACGCTGCTGCAGGTGGGTGCAGTGCGGTTCAGTGTGGTGGGGCGTGAGTCAGTGTGGTGAGAGGTGGTGGGGCTTGGCGGGGCATGAGATGTGGGAGTATGCAATGTGAAGGGGTGGGCTCTGGACTGATGGGCATGTGCCATGTGTGCCATGTGTGCATGTACGCATGTGTGTGCATGTATGCATGTGTGCATGTACGCATGTGTGCATGTGCGCATGTGTGTGCATGTGTGCATGTGTGCATGTGCCATGTGTGCATGTGTGCATGTACGCATGTGTGCATGTGTGCATGTACGCATGTGTGCATGTGTCCATGTACGCATGTGCATGTGCGCATGTGTGCATGTGCGCATGTGTGCATGTACGCATGTGTGCATGTACGCATGTGTGCGTGTGTGCATATATACATGTGTGCGTGTGTGGATATGTGCACCTTTTAGCTCGTCTCTTCCCCTCCCCGGTTGCCAGTTTCCGCTCCTGTCTGTTCCGCCTCCTCTCCCTTTTCCCTCTCCTCTGCTCCTCTCATCCATTCTCCCCGTTCTCGCCTTCCCCTCATGACTGTCGCCATTCTTCTCCTTCGCCCTGTCTGCCCCGTCTGCCCCGTCTGCCCCGTCTGCCCCGTCTGCCCCGTCTGCCCCGTCTGCCCCGTCTGCCCCGTCTGCCCCGTCTGCCCCGTCTGCCCCGTCTGCCCCGTCTGCCCCGTCTGCCCCGTCTGCCCCGTCTGCCCCGTCTGCCCCGTCTGCCCCGTCTGCCCCGTCTGCCCCGTCTGCCCCGTCTGCCCCGTCTGCCCCGTCTGCCCCGTCTGCCCCGTCTGCCCCGTCTGCCCCGTCTGCCCCGTCTGCCCCGTCTGCCCCTCTGCCGGGCTCAACAGGATGTGGGGGGAGGCTTGCTGCACGCAGCAGCACGCCTCACACAGCAAGTCAGGGACGACGCACCGTTCTACACCGCACTCCAGCGGTGAGCACCTCACTGGACCTGCGTGCATGCCCCCCCGTGCTGTCCACAGCAATCGGTAGTCACCTGATACCATGTATTACACATCAACACAACCATCCGTCTCTCCGTTCCCTCCCCTCACCGCCCTCTTCCGCCACCCTTTGCACCCCATTCTCTCTCACTACTCACCATCCCCTACGGTGCATTGTCTCGCATCCCGTGCCTTGTCTCTCTTCCCTTGCCCTGCCTGGCAGCATACAGCATCGGTGGAAGGTGAAGCGCACCCACCCTGCCCTCGCCCCTCCGCCCACCCCTCTCTCCGCCGCCTCCTCAACCGCAGCTGGCTTTGCTGCTGACGTCACAGTGCAATCGCTGCTCCTCTCCCTCCCTCACGCGCCCTCTCTACCTGCCAGCATGCCTCTCATACCCGCTACAAGCCTCCCCTTTACCTCATTAAGACTCGATAGGGACAAGCAGGGAATGCTCCGGGCTGCTCCGCCTGAAGGCCAGCCAATCAGGAGGCTCCATGTCAGCGTGTTTGGGAGGGAAGCAGGTGGAGACAATGGGGGGGATGGTGGTGCTGGTGCTCGCATTAGCAGTGAGGGGTTGGTGGGGAAGGGGGGAGAGGAGGAAGGCGAGGGTGGGAGGATGGCAGAGGGGAAGGAAGGGGATGAGGGGGCGGAGGAGGAGGAGGAAGGGGGTGTAGGGAGGGCGGTGCGCCAGGCTCACGAGCTTCTGAGGGCCGCGCAACGATCGTGGTTTGACTGGCAGGTATGACGGTTGACTGGTAGGTAAGACGTTTGACTGGCAGGTAAGATGGTTGACAGGTAGGTAACATGGTTGACTGGCAGGTAACATGGTTGACTGGCAGGTAACATGGTTGACTGGCAGGTAACATGGTTGACTGGTAGGTAACATGGTTGACTGGTAGGTAACATGGTTGACTGGCAGGTAACATGGTTGACTGGCAGGTAACACGGTTGACTGGCAGGTAACACGGTTGACTGGCAGGTAACACGGTTGACTGGCAGGTAACACGGTTGACTGGCAGGTAACACGGTTGACTGGCAGGTAACACGGTTGACTGGCAGGTAACACGGTTGACTGGCAGGCAGGTAATGTTGCTGTCACAGCGGACGCGACCAACAGTTGTTCCACCTGTGCTTACTTGCTTGCTTCTAGTGCCGCACAGCACACTCACCTCACAGCACACTCACCTCACAGCACACTCACCTCACAGCACACTCACCTCACAGCACACTCACCTCACAGCACACTCACCTCACAGCACACTCACCTCACGGTCCTCCCTTCACAGTCCCCCCCTCCTACGCTGCTCCCTGCTCCCGGTCTTACCCCCACGGCAGCTGTTCGAGTCACTTCAGAGCCACCTAGCAGCTGCCTCCACCGTCGCTCTCCCTCTCGCCTCCATCTCCTCCTCCTCCCTCTCCCTCTCCCTCGCCTCCTCCCCTGCCTGCCTGTCTCTGCGCCTCCTCTCCTCCGCCCCTGCCCCGCCCCTCTGGTCCTCCCTCACTCGCCGCGCCCACCACCGCCGCCCCCATCAGCAGCAAACTAAGAGAGCACAGCAGCTGGCGGGGCAGGGGCAGGGTGACTTGCAGGAAGGGCAGCAGCAGGAGAAGGTGAAGGGGGGAACTGATCAGGAGAAGGGGCAGCAGGCGGAGGGTTGGCATGATAGCGCATCGTTTGGGAGGTTTTTGGATGAGGCAGAGTCAGCAGCTGCAAGGGTGTATCTAGGGGAGGCTTATCTGTTGCTCCAGCAGCAGGCACAGGAAAGAGCGAGGAATCTTCGCTTTCAGTTGCTAGACTCGGAAATTGAAGGGGAGGGGGAAGGGGAGGAGGAGAGGGAGGGAGGTGATGGGGGGACTGGGATGCGGTGTGGGGGAGGGGGGGAGAGGGGGGAGGCACGGGTACGGGCAGCAGGGGGGCTGGAGTGGTGGGGGAGGAGTGAGGGGGGGGGGAGGGGGGAGTGCGATGGGGGGACCAGCGGGAAGCGGGAGGAAGGCGTCAGGATGGGGATGGGCAGGGGGCGGGGGAGGGGGAGGCAGCGGCGGTGGCACTGGTGCTGGCGGTGCTGCTGCTGGCGCTGGTGGCGGTGGTGGTGGGAGTGAGGTGGGGATGGGTGTGGGGGTGGTGGAGTTGCTGTGGGGGGCAGCGGCACACAGGGCAAAGAAAAGGGCTGTGGAGCGATGCCTGTTGCGCATGGTATGGTGGTGCTGGGAGTGTGTGCCATGCATGGTATGGTGGTGCTGGGAGTGTGTGCCATGCATGGTATGGTGGTGCTGGGAGTGTGTGCCATGCATGGTATGGTGCTGCTGGGAGTGTGTGCCATGCATGGTATGGTGCTGCTGGGAATATGTGCCATGCGCGGTATGGTGCTGCATGCATGGTGTTGTGCTTTCCTCCTTTGAACTGCCCGTGCATAACCCTCGCCTCCCTACGCACCTGAGTCTCACCCTCCCGCCACCCACCGCTCATCATTCACTCGCTCACCTCACCCGCGCCCACTCCTGCTCCTCGCTCTGCTCCCCATGCAGCTTCTCCCCCTACTCTGCTCCCCATGCCGCTTCTCCCCCTACTCTGCTCCCCATGCCGCTTCTCCCCCTACTCTGCTCCCCATGCCGCTTCTCCCCCTACTCTGCTCCCCATGCCGCTTCTCCCCCTACTCTGCTCCCCATGCCGCTTCTCCCCCTACTCTGCTCCCCATGCCGCTTCTCCCCCTACTCTGCTCCCCATGCCGTTTCTCCCCCCACTCTGCTCCCCATGCCATTTTCCCCACCACTGCCCTGGCCCGTCCACCAGGCGCGTCTCTGCCTGCACCTGACAGTCTGCTCACATGCCACCCACCACCCCACCATCGCTGCCTGGACTCTCTCCTTCCGCTCTCCTTCCTCCTGCACCGCTCTGCACCGCACTCACGGGGCACACGGTGGGCGGCTGGGCGAGGCGGAGAGAGGGGTGGGCGGGACAGGGGGAGGGGGGGGAGCAGAGGGGCAGGGAGGAGGAGAGGAGGACGAGGGGAGAGGTGGAGGAAATGGAGAGGCGACGAGACTGGGAGAGAGGGAGGGTATTGTTGAGGTAGAAGCAGGTGTGGAGGGTGGGGGCTGTGATGTGGGAGGTGACAGGCAGGGCACGGTGGGAGGTGCGGCAGCAGAGGAACCAGCAGCGGCAGCAGCTGCAGCTGCGGGGGCTGCTGAGGATGATGGGGAGTTGCTCCAGGGGGAAAGGAGGGGAGAGGAGAAAGAGAGGAGTGGGGGAGCAGGGAGTGGGGGCGCGGGGGAGAGCGAGTGGGAGTGGGAGGTGGCGGTGCAGCTGAGAGACGTGGAGCTCTCTGTGCTGCCCACCGTGGAGGCCACATGGTCACATGCTGCTGTTGGTGCAAATGCACATGCTCATTCACACACCGCCCGCCCTCTTCACCACACACACCCACGCGCACGCCTTCTCTCGCTCCCCACTGTGCTGCCCTCCCTGCCCGACCTCTCCTCACTGCTGCTCCACCGCGTCACCTCCTCCTGCCTCTCCTCCCTCCTCGCCCACGCCCACTCCCTCTCCCTCCCCGCATCTGCCTCCCTGTCTTCCCTTTCCTTCACCACCGCGTCGCACCGCTCTGGACCACATCAAGGTGGGGGTATTACCACCGGGAGCAGCAGCATGGGGGGCTGTGGCGCCGGTGCGGAGGAGCAGGAGTGCTGCTTGGTGGCGCGCCCGGATGCGGCTGCCGGCTGTGTGGTCTGGTGGATGGCTCCTAGAGAGCGCGCCCTTGCAGCGCTGCACGCACGTGCCGTGGCAGGCAGGAGGCCAGGCACGCCACGAGGCGGCGAGCGAGTGGGGTATCCGGGGAGGAGCAACGGTGCTGCGAGCCGCGCGGGGGACGAGGAGGGAGATGTGGGGGAGGAGGGGGGTGTGGTGCTGCTGGGAGCGTTGGGAGTGGATGAGCTTAAAGATGTGATCACCAGAGCAGCCCTTTGCTAGTTTGCACCCTGCCTCTGATGTGGCAGTTCATCTCAAGTGCTTCACATGGCGTTGCATGCAGAATATTTTCACACATTCCTGCATTCTTTCCACCCCACCGCGCCCCACACTCTCCTACTCATGGTTTCGCCTCACCTGTTACGTTTCTGCTCTTGGCGAATTTAGTAAAGCGAAGCAGCAGTGAGAGAGCATTGTGCTGCTCACTTTCTCGGCTAACACAAGCTTTTTGATACAGTAGGCATTGTTACAAGAACCTAATCGTGCAGTAGGCATTGTTACAAGAACCTAATCGAATATCAATCAAACAATTCAATAGCATGGAAAAAATCTATCATCCATTCATCGCACGATGAAAGAACGTTGCTGGTGTTTCTGGGTAGTCATGGATCTATCGAAAGGGAAAAGGGCATTATACAATAAGTAATGCCGGTTGTCGATTGGTGACAGCCAATATCTGCAGGTTGGTTTCAATTGGTTTCTGCGACACACGTTTTGCAAGGAAATTTCATGAGTCGTTGCTGAGTTAGATTGTATGCATTGTAGGGGTGGTTGCCAGAATCTAGCGAGCAGGAATGATTGAACTATTAATGAAGTGGGTACAAAACTAACCTTAATGGGTTATACTTTTTGTAGGCTATCCCACTTCAGTCTAGACATAACAACAAGCATATGCGTTGTGGGGGATAGCACAACAAACGATCACAAGACCAGTCAAGAGAATAAGCAAAGCAAAGCAAAGCGCAGGGTGGATCTCAATATTACTACGCAGTCCGAGCACAACCAAACGGTCACAATGCCAGTTCACAAGTAGAGTTATCATACCAATGGCAGTACACTGAGCACAACCTAGCAAGTGTAAACATGCATGTATACAAATATATATCAGTGCACAACAGGAGCAAAACTAGATTAAGAAACAAGCAAATGAGGCAGAGTGGCCACAAGCCCAAGAGCAGTGCATAAACGCTGCAGATCACTAGACACAAGTGCCTTGGTGAAGATATCAGCAGTGTTGGCATGTGAGGCCAGGTAAGCAAGACGAAGCTGACCACGCTGCTGCAGCGCTCGTGCGAGAAAGTAACGAAGAGCAATGTGCTTCGTTTTGTGCTCCAGCCTCTGCTCCCGACAAGAGGCAATCGTGACCTTGTTGTCGACGTACAGAACCGAAGGGGAACAAGGCTGCTCACCCAAGTCACTCAGCAAGTAGGTCAGCCAGCGTAACTCCTGTGCAGCCATAGCCCTAGCGTAGATCTCTGACTCACAACTGGAACTAAGTGCAGAAGACGAGCAGGTGGACCTCCAGGAGACAGAACCAGCGCCAAGGCTGAAAGTGTAACCCTGTGACGACCGCTGGGTCTCCTGGTCATCAGCCCAAGAAGCGTCAAAGTGCCCGATAAGTACGACTCGACCCCGTCCTCCAAGCACAAGCCCCATGCCTGATGTACTGCACAAGTAACGCAGTACCCTCTGCGCAGCTGTCCAGTGTTCCTTCGTGTGTCTCTTGGGTGCAACGAAACGAGCAAGGATGCTAAGAGGGTACGCGAGGTCAGGTCGTGTGCACGTCATCAGGTACATGAGGCAGCCCACAAGCTCGGGACACGGGCCACTCGGCTCTACAAACTCGTCCAAAGGTGGAGCTGAGAGTGAGTGGCTCGTAGGCAGAGGAGTGCACTGTGGTGAGGAGAACTGAAAGCGGAAGCGTTGAAGGACCTGCTGCACCATTTGTGACTGAGTCAGAGTGGTAGTGCTCCCTGCTTTGTCCCGGGTGATCTGCAAGCCAAGATAGTTGCACAGCTTACCCAGTTCCGTGCAGGTGTGTCTTTTTTAAGCTCCGCCTTAGACACATCAACGGGTCAGCAGTTGAAGGAGCAAAGCCATGAGCCACAAGTGTACTCGTCAGTGTGTCGTGCCACTCGCGGGGCACCTCGCGGAGACCGTAGACTGGCTGCCGAAGGCTCCACTGGGTACCCTTAGGGAACAATCCAGTGAAGCCAGATCTCCTCGTGAAGGCTGCCCTGCAAGAAAGTTGTGCTGAAGTGAAGCAAGTGGAGCTCGTAGTTACGCTGTGCTGCAACGTGCAGTAACACCCGAAGAGGGGGTCATCTTCCGGGTGGGAGAGAAGGTCTGGAAGAAGTCAACTCTCTGTCTCTGACTGAATCTTCGTGCCATGTAATGCGCCTTGAAGGTAGGCGGTGAACCCGGCGGCCGCTTGACCCTGAAAATCCGCATGCCATCGACTATGTTCGCCCCAAGAGGGGGAATTGTGTCGACGTAGGTGCCTCTGGACTTCCAAGAAGCCATCTCCGCATCCATGGTTGTCTGCTACTTAGAGGGGTACTCACTCGAGATCGCCTCTGTATAAGAGCGAGGGGTAGGGATGGATGTCTAGTGCATCCGGGTCTCCCTCGGGGCAAAACAGCATGGAAGCGAGATGACGTACAGCACCCGCGAGGCACTCGAGCTCAAAATGCCTGTCCTCAAGGATGTCACTACCAAGGGCAAGCTCACCCTTGACGGACGGAGGACAGTCAGACTCAGAATCAGTAACAAGACTCGCGAAGTAGTCAAAACGACAAGTAGCAGCAAAGTCAACGAGCTAAGTTACTAAGGCAGACGCAGCAGAAGACTCGAAGGAAGGGTCAGTGACAAGTGTGGCCAGGTGACGCGTGACAGTAGGACTAGCAGCACGAGTACGGTCAGACTCAAGGTCACGAACATCTGGAAGAGAGGACGCCGGAGGTGACAGAAGGGTAACATGCTGTGGAAGAGAGGAAGGACGAAGTGCAAGCACCTCCAGCTCCAGCACCTCCAACACTAGTGCCTCCAGCAACAGTGCCTCCAGTACCTCCAACACTAGTGCCTCGAGTACCCGCAGCTCCAGTACCTCCTGCACCACCAGCTCCAGCACCTCCAGCACCAGTACCTCCTGTGCCTCCAGCTCCAGAGTGGCCTCGCCGAACAACCCACTCGCGGAGCTGCTGTGGCGAGAGCGCCTCCTGCTGATGAGAACCCACAATACCAGAATCTCTAGCTCCAGTACCTCTAGCACCAACACCTCTAGTACCAACGCCTCCAGCAAATCTAGTACTAGCACTTCTAGCTCCAGTACCTCCAGTACCTCCAGTACCAGCACCTTCAGCACCAGTACCTCCAGCACCAGCGCCTCCAGCACCAGCACCTCCAGCTCTACGATCAGAGCGGCCTCGCCGAAGAACCCACTCGCGAAGCTGCTGTGGCGACCTGCCAACGAGACAGCTGCTGCTGTCCACTCCCAGAATCAGCACCCCCAGACTCAGCACCTCCAGAGTCAGCACCTATAGTACTAGCACCCCTAGAGTCCGCACCTCCAATGTCACCACCCCCAGAGTCCGCACCCCTAGCAGCACCGGAGCCTACAGCGACAGGCTGCAGAGGCAGCGATGGCGGCTGAGTTGGAAAACCAGGGGGTTCTCTAAGCATGGCGAGCGGCGAGTGGTTGCTGTGTCCTCAGCAGCAGGGTCACCCCCCTTAGCTGGGCCAGAGGTGTCAGAGGAGACCTCCAAAGGTGCAACCAAGGGGGGTGGGTCGACATGAGAGACACCTGGGGGAGCAAGACCCTGTGGGGAGAGAGGGTCTACCGGGGGGGGACCTGGAACCAGGAAGAGAAAGGGGGGGGGGGGGGGGACGGGGAAGTGCTGTGGGGGTGGAGACGGTAGAAGCAAAACGATTGGTCAGCTGGCGACGAACATTGCGGATCCAAGGGATCAAAACACCACGGACATCCGCCTTGCTCTGTAAGGGGAAGACCGTGGTGCAGCGCGTGAAGTCGTCAACGATGAGAAAAAATTAGCGCTCGCGGTCCTGTCCACTGACGCGGGCGAGACCCCACACTTCCATGTGGAGAGTCTGCAGAAGAGCAGTGGTCAGAGGAAACGAGGAGGAGTGAGGAGCAGCGCGCTGCCGCTCCTCGACGCAGGGAAGGCACAGCGGTGCAAGCGACCCGGAGAGCGGAGGCAGGGACCTAGGGAGGTCAGAGACAAGGAGACGGGAGTGGATGCTACGTAGACGTGGCAGGGAGGGGTGACCCAGACGGTGGTGCCAGAGAAGAGAAGGGTGTGTGAGTAACCGACACAAGCAAGACGCAGCGACCAAACCGGACGCAGCTACCTTTGCAGACTCAGTGGTCAGTGTAAACAGGCCAGACCCGGGTCTTCGAGTGAACGTGGCGAGGTGGTCGCCAGTTCATGAGTCCCTACAGATCGCCAAAAGCTCACCCCCAGGAGTAGTAACAGTGACAACAGTCCTGGAAGATAGCGTTACTCACCAAGTTCATAGTGAACGAGGGGAGGTGGAGACCTGTGAGTGAGCCGAAAGGGGCTGCCGGACACAAAGAACAGTGGAGGCACGTGCTATGACTGGGCCCCCAGAGGAGTCAACCAAAGTGATCGGGATAGGTGCAGCGAGCGGTGTGAATGTGGTGCAGTCGCGGAAGAAGCAGCGAGTTGTGCCCGAGTCAAGCGTGAAGGCGTGAAAAGCCCCCGCAGAAGCTGCACATGTGCTAGCAGGCTCACAGGCACTTAGACTAGTAGCCTCTTACCAGGGACACGTCGTTGAGAAACCCACTCCCGAAGCTGCTTCCGCAAGAGGGTCTCCGGCTGACTCTGCTGCCGCTGCTGTCCACCAGCTGCACCACCTGTACGAGCAGACGTACAGGTACCTACACTCGCCTCCTCGACTAGCGGCTGCACCTCCCCTAACAACGGACGCTGCTGCTGCAGAGGCTCGGCGGCAGGAGTAGTGTCTAACAACAACGTCGAACAAAGTCTAGGCCGACGTCACCTGGCCTATGGTCGCCCGGTAGGAGAGCTCGGACGGCACGCTGTGCGACAGCGTCGCGCTCCATCCACTGGCTGTAGGCAAGGATGTACACTCGGTACCGCCTCTGCACATCCTCGCCAGCGTCAGCAGCAGGTTTTGTGGGAGCCTGTGAGAGTACGACAGCTTTGCTGGACGTTACTTGC